TATTATTGATATATTATCATCATAATTATTATTATTATCATTTATATTATTATCATCATCATTATCATTATTATTAGTATTTCATATTTATTGTTATTATCGTTATTACTTCTTATTACTATCATTGTCATTATCATTATCATCATTATCGTTATTATCATTATCATTATCATTATATTATAAAATTAAAATCACTATTATTATCATTAACGTCATTATCAATATCATTAGCACTTTTATTATATTTGTCATTCTTTTTGCTGTTTTCTTCTCATTATTTTTATCATTATTATTATTACCATTATCATTATTAGTAATATTTCATTATTATTGCTATCTTCATCATTACTGCTATAATATTCATGATTAGTTGCGTTATATTCATTATCAATGTTATTATCATCTATATCGTTATTATTGTTTTCTTACTATTTTCATAGTATCTTATTTATTATCAGTATTATCATCGTCAGTTTTATTATCACTGTTGGCATGATAGTGATTGTGTTATCCATAATTTTCGTTGGCATTATTGTTATAAAAATCATGTTCCTTAGTTTCAATTTTTATCGCCATCGGTATCACGCGTATTACGATTAACGTTATTATTATTGTTATAACCATTATCATTATACACAACAGCTATTACCACTATGACCCTTATCACTGACTGTTTTTCCTTATTGTGTTACGTTTGCCATTATTGTAATATTGATGTGAATGCGGGTTCTGCTGCAGCTGTGAGAGAGATAATTCTATCTTTTTCGGTTCTAATTTTATTGTTTACTTATCTCCATTTCCTGATTTTGCAAAAAGTCAAATGATTGTGCCTTATTTTGGGGGAACTTTCCCTCTAATAAATGTACCCTATCCACTTCTCTTGTTAGCGACATCAAATCGAATGAAACACATCACATTTTATTTGTATTTTATTAATACCAACTGTCATTAATGGTGTACAAACATCAGACGCGGCGGCCGGCCGTCGACCGCCTTTTCCTAACTGCCCGCACTCTGTTGGGGTAAAAGCCATTCACACACATAAATCACTCTACAATGTCTCCATGAATGCTTTGTCTTTTGTTCATATGTAATGATAGCTGTGATTTTTTCTTGATTTAGTTTATCCTCAAAATATATTCCTTCTGCCTTCGGCTGTATCAACTCGGGCACATCGAGATACAGTGCCTGCTGATGAGTCATATACGACGCTTTATCCGTTGTGTAAACCTTATAATGTACTCATGATTAAAATCAAACTGAGTTGATTTCGTATAAAATTCTGAAAACATACTCGTAGACTAGAAGCGATTTTACCATCCATAAACAACTTAGAGAACAACCTTACGGACAACACACATTCCAACAGAAACTCTTCCTGGCATCTGTCGCCTCAGCCTCATCATGATTATGGCGTCACGACCATCCTGACTCATGATTGGTAATCCGATATATACATAGGCCTGACGTCACACCTTGCTGAGAGCCAGTCAGCGTGAGATGTCTCTGACGGTGACACTCCAATGGGAGATACAGATAATACCCTAATAAATGAACAAGTATAACATGAGGATTCCTTTTATTCAAGCGACACAGAATAGACAAACATATCATTGGCGTTTTTCTTGTTTTCCTTTTGGTTCCGGACGCGCAGCCCCGCCGCTCCGCCGTCGGGACGAGCGCCTGCCTTCCCATTCCAGGGCTCCTTCGTCGGCAGAATGAACGCAAGAGTGACCGCACGCGCGTGCAAACGAGAACAAAGTCTGCCTCTTCACAGATCGCCTTTCTGTCCTTCAAGTGAGAGCTTTCTCTATTCTATTTGTAAATTCATTATGGAAGGCAATGTAGTAAATCTATATGGGAATGTAAATCCCAGAAAAAAGTCATAAGGTACGAAATGTTATTAACAGCAATGTTACTTATCTTTTGAGGGTAAGAACTTGTACTTATTGATTATCAATATTATCTCAACTTTTTTCATAACCCACAATTGCTCATTAAGTTTCGTCATGAATTTGTTCATCTATCTTCGCTTTGTTTGAGTTCCCCCTAAGAATCCGTCTGCCTGAAGACCCACCCATCGCTTGAGCGCTACTTGGATTTCCTCGCTACCCCCGCGCAGGACGCCCTCCTTCTCCGCCAGGCCAAGGCAGCTCTCCCTTAAATATCCCTCTTCTCCTAAAGAGCGAAATGACGCGAACCGTTCTTTGGTAACGACATACCCACCCATTTGCTCCTGCCCTTCCGTGAGTTAAATCTAGCACGGCAAAGACCCCTACCAGTGCTATTAGGAATTCACGCCTTACGCGGAATAGAGCCTTACTGACATTCATTTCAGTTTCTTCTCAGGGGTTTGTTTTTATTTGCACTATTTTTTCCACAAAGTTCTCTCTCTCTCTCTCTCTCTCTCTCTCTCTCTCTCTCTCTCTCTCTCTCTCTCTCTCTCTCTCTCTCTCTCTCTCTCTCTCTCTCTCTCTCTCTCTCTCTCTCTCTCTCTTCT